ACCCAGCTGCGTCTGTTGCAGCCGGGGGAAGAGTGGATCAGTAACTGCCAAGCCTGTGAGTGCCAGGGGAGTCCGTCTGTCGTGTGGTGCCACCCAGTGCAGTGTGAACCCCCTGAGGAGCCCAGCACGTGCGGCCAAGACGGCTTCCAGCGCATCACCAGGCCCCAGGCCGACAACCCCTGCTGCCAAGAGATCCTGTGCGGTGAGCCCTTGGGTGGGCAGGGAGGAAGAGACAGGGTGGGCAGGGAGGCGGCAGCCGGCCCTGGCAAAGTTGGGGCTGTGGAATGCAGGGACTGGGAGTCAAGGTGCAGGGCCAGACCCCCGAGGGAGAAAATGCTCCTTTGGGACCAAAATGTGGGCACATGGCACCGGCACGGGGGCCAATCAGAAGGGGAGCTAGGATGGGGCATTGTTGGGCTTGAGACAGGAAGGGGTGGGGCCCTTGGTGGTCCCTGCACAGTGAATGCTCCTCCCTCTGCCCGCAGTCTGCAACATGACCACCTGCTCCCAGAAGCCTCCTGTGTGTGAGCAGGGACAGAAGCTGGTCCAGACCCAGGAGGAAGGCGACTGCTGTGCCACGTTCACCTGTGGTGAGTGGGGCGCCGGCGTGACACCTCAGGGGAGGGGAGGACCCTTCTGCCCAGCCCCCCAGACCCTAACCTCCTTCTCTGGCTGGCAGGATTTTCTCGGAGTGCCACACCCTGGTCCCACCCATCCCTTTCTTCGAAACCTGCACCACAGAGAGCTGTGGGGAGTACGGCTCCCACATGCCCTGCCAGAGCCTGGAGGCCTATGCTGCCCTGTGCCGGCTCTGGGGCGCCTGCAGCAACTGGCGCAATGCCACGGGTGGGCTGTGTGGTAAGTCTGGCAGCGTCTGGGGCCTGGGATGCTCTGCCTGCCTCGGCCCATTCTGACCCCATCCTCTGTGTCCGCAGACTTTGACTGCCCACCCACCAAGGTATACGATCCCTGTGGCCCTGTGCTGTCGGAGACATGCAACTATAGGTGCGTGCCATGCAGGCTGGGGGATGGGTCGGGGGTGGAAGGGAAGGAGGGTAGGTATGCATGGTGAGGAACAGGACCAGGTATGCATGGTAAGGAACAGGACCAGGGAGCCAGAGGGGTGGTGGGTGCTCTCAGGCCTGAGGGTTCTGGGAGAAGGTGGGAGGTGGCTCAAAGGGGACTGGGTCCCCCAAGCTCTTTGGATGCCCTTTCCCAAGCCCCAGGGATCTCTGAAGGGTCTCCTGGTGACCCTAGCAGCTCTTAACTACCTGCCCCCACTAGACTCCTGGGGGCTTTTAAAACCCATACATACATCCTGTCAAGCACATTTGTACATATGTTGCCATCATCATTTTCGAAACATTTTCTTTCTATTTGAGCCCTTCCTATCAGCTCCTCATTTTCCCCCTATCCTCCCCAACTGGTCCCTTTGCAACCAGAGACCACGGAGGGTGCCCTCAGCCCTGATCCCAAGAACAGCCCTGCCTACTCCATGTTCAGGCGCTAAGTGTGTATGTACACACACACACACACACACACACGCACACATGCACACACAAATACACATATACATGCCCAGCACACACATACACACATGCACACTAATAAACACATGCACACACATGTAAAAACATGCACACCAATGTAGACAGACAGGCACATGCACACATATGCACAATGTACACACAAAAGCACACATACATACCACACACATTCACACACGTACAAACATGGACTCACATATACATGCATGCACACATGCACATACCTGTGCGTGCATGTATACACATGTGC